AAACGGCTTGTGTAACAAGACCCCACATGGGCAAGTTGTGCATATCGCTGAACTGTGAGGGGCCTGGGAGACAGCTCAGTAGAATAAGACACTTTAGTCATGTGATTTTCATTTTAAAAGCTCCTTGCTCAGGCTGGTGAGATGGCTCAGTGGTCTAAAGCACCTACTTAGAACAAGCTCAGCAAAGCACAGGGACCGTGGTTCAATCCCCCAGCACCACATGCCAGCAAGCCCGCCCCCTGGTGGGCTGAGCTGGCCACACACACACACACACACACACACACACACAAATAAAATTTAAAAAAAATGTTAATTTATTTTTGCAATGCTAGGAATAGAACTGCTAAGCAGCCATTCTGCTACTGAGCTATATCTCAAACATTTTGTTTGTTTGAGACACAGTCTCACTATGTGGTTCAGGTAGGTCTTAGAACTCCCTATGAGACCAGGCTGGCCTGGCACTCTTAGCAGCACTCCTAGGGGCAAGGGAGATGGCTCAGTGGAATAAGTGCTTCCTTGCCAAGCCTGAGTTCAATTCCTGATTCCGCCAAAAACAAGAAACACTCCTGCCTCTGCCTCCCATGTGCTGAGATTATAGGCATGTGCCACCACACCCAACTCATCTTGTTTTCTTTGCCCCCTCATTCCTGTCCTCTGAACATTTTAATTTCCTTGAACTATAGAGACTTTGGAGAAAGCGCCCTGCCAGCAGAGCTTCTTTGACATAACAGAATGTTCAGACCTTTGGACACAGATCTGGTCAATCTGTCCGGGGTAGTTAGCCATCTTCCTGGCCTCTCTCTCAGACACCCACTCCCAGCTCCTTTGCTGTGTTCCTGATTGCCTTCCAAGGAAGGCTCCCTGGCCTCTGGCCCTCCCAGAACATCAAAGCTGGCCCTGAAGGACCACCTCAAGAGAGCCCCAAGGTGTCCTCAAAAAGGAAGTCAAGGACACACTTGCCAGTTTGGTCTTGTATGTTAGTCATTTTCCTGCTGGTAGGATAAAATACTAAACAGTCCCAACTTAAAGGAATTTATTTGGGCTTACAACTTCAGGGGTTCAGTCCGTGTTTGGCTTCAAGGCAGAAATGGCCCTGGGGAGGAAAGCTGTGTAACCCATGGTGGCCAGGAAGCAGGGAGAAGAAAAGGTGGCGACAAGAATGCATCCCTCCATGTCAGGTCCCCAGCAACCAACTCTTGAGACTTTTGGAGAACATTTTACTTCTAAACCATCCTGCCCTGTTTAGGGCTCCATGGTGCTGAGTGCAGACACTCCTACCAGGGTGCTATCCTGAGCATGTGGCTCCCTGCCCAAGCTGTTGTCATGGGCCTGGCTCCAGGGCTCTCAGAATGAAGAACATCTCAGTTCCTTCTTTCTGGATAGAGAGCTACCTACTCCCTCCATACCAAGCCAGGAGCCTGCCTTCCACCCTAGATGTGCCAGAACTGTGGGACTCCCTGGCCTAGTGAGATGGGTGGTGGTCTCTCCTTCAGCCTGGAAGTTACTATTAGAGGGGGGGCGTGGAGGAATGGTGGTATGAAGGGTAAGAGATGCAGGCAACTGCATGAATTGGGATGAGAACAAAGATCCATCAGGTAGGGAGTAATTGAGATGATATTATGGGATGTGGTCTGCATTAGGCTGACTACAATACTTTAGAAATCTGGGACCAAGGGTCCGGGGAGATAGCTCAGCAGCATAAGCGCCTGCCTGGCAAGCACAAGGTCCTGAATTCTATGCCTGGTACAAGAAAAAAAAAGAAAGAAAGAAAAAGAAATCTGGGGACCTATAAGAATTTCAGTGGGAAGATTACAGGACTGGAGTTCCAAGTCAAAGGGGGGCGGGCAGCATTAGGCACAGCTGTATCCCAGTGACTTCATCATGTTATTCTGTTTCTCTGCCTTTTAGCTGTTTGCCTCTGGGTCCTTCATTCTCAGGCAAACTCCAATACTTTTGAGGGGTTTTTAAAGTAATTTTAATAGTTTTGTTTGTTTGGTTTTTTTTTTGGTGTGGTACTGCAGATTGAACTCAGAACCCTTCGCTTGCCAGGCAGGTGCTTATTTTACTGAGCTATCTCCCTGGTCCCTTAATAGTTCTTAAGATGATTGGTATCTCCAAGACAGATTTCATGGTGGACTCTGATATCCCAGAGGTAACTGAGTTTTAAAAAAAAAAAGTGGGGTCGGAGCCGGGGAGATAGCTCAGTAGAACAAGCACTTCCTTGGCAAGCACAAGAGCAAGAGCCTGAGTTCAATCCCCGGTTCTGAAAAAAAAAAAAAAAAAAGTGGGGTCACATGAACAGCCACAGGGTAGCTGGCGGGGAGAGAAGAGAGTGCTGTAATCAACATCCAGGTGGTCTCTGAGCCCTTAAGCTGCAATGAGAACTGGAGCAGGTTGGTCTTTAACGCACAGCAATCCTCCTGCCTCAGTTTCTTCAAGTGCTAGAATTACAGGCATTTACCACACCTGGCCAATACATCCTAACACAAGTAGTTGGTAATTTCCTTTGAATTCCAGGGATAGCCACTGGGGAGAGAGCTCAGTAGAATAAGCACCTGGGAAGTACATGATGCCAAGTTCAAGCCCCAGTACTGCTAAGTAAATTAATTAATTACAGGGATAGTCATCCCATTGTCCTATGTCTCCAAGCCAAGAGAGGTGGGAGGTCTAAGCAGATGGACATCTGAAGTTGGGGCTGTTATCTTGGTTCACACCCGCCACTGCATAACTCGCAGCTATCTAGGACCCCAGTGGACTTTGTAACAACCCCTACCTTGTCATTCAGAGCCTCATAGCCTTGTCCTAGCATTCAGGGGTTGGGTAAAGAAGCTGGCCTTTCTGCTGCAAGGAACCAACAGGACTTTTTTTTGGTGCTTGGAAGGGAATAGTGGGCCTGGGGGCTCGGTCTTGCTCCCACTCCTGCCCGCTGGGCCTCAGATGCTGCCTTCCCTGTGAAGGTCTCCAAGCTGGTCCGTGTGGTGTGTGAAGGATCTTGTGCTTGATGGAACAGCCTCAGTCCTGGGATTGTTATCTCCTTCCCCTTGTTATTTTCACCTTTGTCCCACTTCCTGGGGACAAGGAGCAGATTCCAAAGACTGTCTACCTCCAGCCCAGGCCCCTTCTTTCCAGGAGACCATGTGTGTTTGCAGGGTTGGGCAACCCTCACTCCTCTGTGGCCCACCCTTAATACTGTACTTGTGGCTAGAGGGCGGAGGCTACAGAAAGCTCTGATCATCTATTATGATAAGGGGGCCCAGGAAAGAGCTGGGAGGGGCCCCATCAGCCTCTAACCCAGGTGGAGAGAGCACAATGCTAGAAGGAACCAGGCATGGTGTCTAAGTCCTGCTGACCTCAGCATTTCTACTGACTGTACTCACCTCAGCTCAATCCTTCTGGTCTCTCTCCACTAATCACCTTGGGCAGCTCCTGCAGCTCACACCAACTTTCACCCTCTCAGCACCTGCCCACCCTGCAGAGGAAAGCCACCTTGTTGAGCTGCCCTGCCCCTCCTCATGACTGGGCTGAGCCACTGGGGGTGCTGAGCCACCAAGGGTCCCCTGTTCAGCTGGTCTTGCCAAGGCCATGAGGCCACGTCAAGGACAGGAGGCTCTCAGGTTCAGAGACTAGAACAATGGCAGGCAGGAACACGGTCAGGTGTGGGAACCACTCTTCCAGGCCTTCTGTCTTATAACAGCAGGAACTTCATTTGTGACAATGAAGACTCACACTGGGTCACAGCTCAGGGTCCTCCTACTTGGGCAGGATGTATTCTCCACAGGCCCCTCCTGTCCATCCACAAGATAAGGAGGCAGAAATCCAGATACCCTCCTAGGAATACTGCAGTCCTCAGTTGGGTCAAATGCTTTCCAGGGCCCCACTCAGCAGGTGGTGCCAGCTTTGAGCCTTGTGTGACACAAGTGAGTACCACCAAGCCCACGACCAGCCCAATGAAGGAATGTTCGTTGCAGATGCCAAGAAACAAAGGCCCAGCAAGATACTGGGCACAGGCCTACAATCCTAGCACTTGGAAAGCTGAGGCAGGAGGATCACAAATTCAAGTCTCACCTGGACAATGCAGAAATCCTATCTCAAAAAGCCAAAACTGGACAGAGATATAGCTCAGTGGCACAGCACCTGCCTGACAAGTGTGAAGTCCTCAGTTTGATTCTAATACAAAAAATAAAAACAAAAAAAACACCTAAGTAAATAAGCAAAGGCCCAGCTTACTTAGGTCCAGCTCTCTACCAGCAGCCCAGGGGGCAGCTGCATTACGTCTGCCTTAACAGAGCATGTGGGGGCTGTAAAGCCAGGAGCTAGAAAACTAGAAGCTGGTGACTTATAAATAGGTAGATAATACTGTTGGGTTGAAGGGTCCTGGCTCTTCTTTTTCTTTTTTT